CTTGGGGGCTTCAAACAACACAGATTTTCTCTCTCACAGTTCTGGAGAAGTCTGAAATCGGGGGGTTGTTGGCAGGGCTGGTTCCTTCTGGAAGCTCTGAGGAAGAAATTGTTCATGCTTCTTTCCCAGCTTCCAGTGGCTGCTGGCAATCCTTGTCATTCCTTGGTTAATCTGTGTCCCCCTTCACATGGCCTTCTTCTCTGTGTTTCTCCTCCCCTTAGTTTCTCTTATAAAGACACTTGTCATTGGGTTTAGAGCCCATCCTAATTCAGGATGATCGAATCTGAAGACCCTTGGTTCAAAGAATCCTTTGCAGAGGACTTTTTCCCAAATAAGGCATCATTGACAGGTTCTGGGTGGACATATTTTTAGGGAACACCTTCAATCCACTACAGGATCCATATGCATTTATTTTCTCACATTGTGAACCAATTTCTCCAACCCCATCTGCTAACAAGGCCATGCTCTCACACTGGTTTGGGATGTCCCTTTTTTCCTGTATTAGGTTTCCATTTGTAGCCAGCCTCTGTCTGGGGTTCTATAGACATTCATCTGCCTGTTTTTCCTGTCACTACCACATTGTTTTGACTGCTGTGCTTTTGTAATATGTAGGTCTTAACATTTGGTAGAGTAAGTCCCCATCTTGGCTCGGTTCTTTCAAAAATGCCTTAAATTTTCAAAGACCTTGATTTTCTCTATACGTCTTAGAATCAGGTTCCCTTGGGATTTTGGTTGGAATCCTAATGACTTTATAGATTAGTTTGGAGACAATTGACATTTTTAAGACATTAGGCCAGTTGATCCATGAATTGACTATGTCCCTCCATTTATTTGGGTCTTCTTTTTATGTCTTTTAATAGAATATGAACGTGGTCTCTAAGGAGGTCTTACACACTCTGAGGGTAATTATGGAAGGAAGAGCACTCTACAATTTACAGATGGCACAATTGTATATATCCCCTCTCCCGGGAGTCCTATTAACTATATTTTACAAAAAAGGAAACTGAAGCTAAGAAAGATGAAGGAACCTCCCTAGGGACACATAGTGGTGACAGGGCTGAGACCTGGTCCCCCAGCCTAGCCCTGGGTATGCATGTGGCTTACCACTGACCCTTGCCCCCTGCGCAGCAAAGGCCTAGGTGGACAGACCTGGGACCATTCAATCTCTCATGGACAAAGCAAAGCTGGGGACATACCAAAGGCTGGCTCCCACTTGATCATTTATTTTAAGATCTGTGCAAACAGAGATGCGGCATAGATATAGAGAGAAGAATGACGAGAACACAGGTGGCCTTGACGTGCTGGGCAAGGGCCTGCTTGGATGAACCCCTGAAGGCCATCTTGCCTGTCCTGCTGCTCTGGAACCTGGTGCTAATGGGCACCTCGGTGGTCCCAAAGCTGCAGCCTCCTCCCTGCTCGCTCGCACAGGCACAGGCTGATGCAGGCTGGTGTGACCCTGCTCAGGGTGGCTGAGTTAGGTCCAGGGAAGTGCCGGCTAAAAGGGATGGTGGTGGCTGGAAGGATGGTGGTGACTGCATCCAGATATTTGGAGCCTGCCCAGCACAGCTTGGCCCACTGCAGAGGTTGTAGGCCACTGCCCTGCATGGCCTGGGCCGCCCGTCACGTGGCCGCCTACAGCCTATCTAGGCAGCGGAGTAGCAGGGACACAGCCACCTCCTGCAGGACGGCTTGCAGCAGCAGCTCCACGGCCTTGCTGTTCTCGTGGTGGAAACTGGCCAGGCTGTAGTAGGCCCACTGGGCCATGGAGAGCAGGACTAGGCTTGCCTCCCACTTCAAGTGCCGCAGCTGCTGCAGGATGCAGTGGTGGGCTCCATGCATCATGGTGGTGAGCTGCTGAAGGCCCAAGCCCCACGCGATGGTCAGTGGCTGCCACAAGGCCCGCTGGATGGGCAGCAGCGCCTCTATGCACAGCTTCCTGGCCAGGATGAGGGTGAGCCCCCTGCTTACCTGCAGGCTGTTGCACCACAGGATACAGAGACCCAGTATGTAGACTGAGCGGCAGTGGGAGGCCATATTTGTTATGGCCGCCTGCAGCCCCAACAGAGGGGCAGAGAATTTTACCAGGCCTGGGCCACACAGGAGCAGCAGTAGGAGCTGCCTTGCACCCCTGGCCAGTCGGCTCCCGTTCTGTGGGGCATTGTCCTGGCAGCTGGTGGTGGAGGAGCAGGGATGGGAGGCTTTCATGACCCAGAGGCTCTGTGCCCAGGGTCCTGCCCCAGGGGCATTGGGCTGGGCTCCTGCCACAAGATCGCATTAACTGAGCCTCTGGCCCAAATACTCTGTCGTTTGGGCCAGGTGGTTTTGCAACGATCAATGACAGCACAAAAGATCAAGATGTGAGCTCATGTCAAAGAGGGGGCATTATTGCTTCAAAGGGACAAGGGAGGCAGCCTTTGGAAAATAAAACTGTGGTGTTCTAGTTTGGGTCCCCTGTGTTCATGCCCTCATCTGACAAATGTGACCCACACCTCTGTGTTAGGCCCTGCACTGGGTGCTGCGCACATGGGAACAGGACATGGTCTCTGCCTACAGGAAGCTTCCAGTCTAATAAGAGAGATGAACACTGAAACATCCTCATGTCATACCCATTCAGCTCCTCATCAGGTCCTCCTAATCTTCCACACCTTGGGTTTTACTTGGCTATAGAGAACGTCTGCTCTTTAGGTATTTGAGCAAAGCCTGGGACCCTTTTCTGCTCCTTACTAGAAGTTCCATTTTATTTTTTAATTTTTTAAAAGATTTTATTTATTTATTTTAGAGAGAGAATGTGTGTGCGCAAGCTGGGATAGAGGCGGAGGGAGAGGAAGAGAGAGAGAATCTTAAGCAGACTCCCGCCTGTCGTGGGGCTTGATCCCAGGACCCCGATATCACGATCTGAGCCCAAGGCAGATGCTTAACCAACTGAATCACCCAGGTGGCCCTGCTCTCTTTTCTCTGGATGGTAAAGAGGGAGTTTCTTTTAGGGAGAATATTTTGTCTAGCACCTTTAGTGACATTGTCAAACCTTTTAAAACTCTCCTCACGGTTTTAAATAGTCTTATTTGGTGTGTGATGGTGGCCGTCTTGTTCTTCTCTGTACTCCCGCAGCCTGGTGCAGTACCCAGCACACTGCAATTTCTTACTGAGGTTATACTTGGGACCCCAGGGATCTTTCCAGTGAGGGGGTTACTGAACACCAAGTCTGATATGAAAACCCAAGCTGGAGTCAGCTCTGTCCTTCACTGTGTGACTTTTGTCAAAGTATTTCTTCTTGGACTGAGACTTTGTTTTCTCTGCAAGAGGGGACAAGAGGGGACAGACAACAGTCATAATCCCTTGTTTGCAATTCTGAAATTAAAAACTTAAGTCATTTGATAGCAAAAACCAAACTGATCTGAACTTTTTAGGCAGCACAGTCAGCCTTGAACTGATGTGAAGACATTTATTTTTATCCCACTCTATGAGAATATCCTTTTTTTTTTTTTAACAGAATTAATGTGTTTCATTAAAGAGTTTGGGGAGGATTACATAAGTGTGTGCACCATATTGCATGATTTATTTATTTATTTTTAAGATTTTTGTCTGTCAGAGAGAGAGAGAGCACAAGCAGGGGGAGTGGCAGGCAGAGGGAGAGGGAGAAGCAGGCTCCCCGCGGAGCAAGGAGCCCAATGTGGGACTCAATCCCAGGACCCTGGGATCATGACCTGAGCCGAAGGCAGATGCCCAACTGACTGAGCCACCCAGGTGCCCCTGCATGATTTTTTTAAAACACGAAAAATGCTGAGTTTGGAAACACATCAGGCCCCAAAGATTTCCAATAAGGGATTGAGGACCCATCAGCACTGCCTCTCAAGGGATGGTGTGAAGATTAAAAGAATGTTTTGTTTTGTTTTTAACAATGGTTGGAGCAATGGTCAGGCCCAGAATCAAGTAACAGGACTGGGTGGGATGGAGGTGCAAGGCGATATATGGGAGAGAGTGTGCTGCTCTCACCCAGAAAAAAGGGTGGAGTAGCCAGTTACAACAGAGCCTTGGGTGGCAGCCAAAGCAGTTAATGCCTAATCCCAAGGAAACAGTACCCAGCGCACAGCAGGCCTTCAGTAAGAATTTCTAACTGAGTGAATGACTTGGGATCCCAGAGGTCTTTCCAGTGAGGGGAAGATGACATCTGACTCTTAAAAAAGATTTGGAGGCAAGCCTGGAGGCAGGGAGAGCACTTAGGAGCCTCCTGGGTCACGGAGGTGGGGGTGTGGGGATGCAAGCAGAGATTAGCGAGGGGCTCCGAGGCCGGGCAGCTGGACCCGTCACCGCAGGTCCTGAGGTCGTTTTGCCGCCTCATTGACTCTCAGAAGCAGGGCCACAGCAGCTGGACACCGGGAGTAGTGGCCGAGATGAGGCTGGAGGGACGGATGTCCGAAAACAACGCATTAAAGGTGTCGTGGAAGCGGCTCTGGGATGGCAGCCAGGAAAACAGGCTTCCAGTCTTTTCTCTCCAACTTTGAGCAGGTGGCAGCGGGTCAACTCGTCCCAACCCAGTGCGCCCGCCAAACGGCAACACCGCGGATTTACTGTGTGGGACGGAAATGGAACACCACGCGCGAAGGCGCTTTGGAACTCAAACCCACAGCTGGGTTATTCAATCCTGGAGGTGACTGCATTTCATATGAAAAAAAGACGCAGCTACTTAGCTTCAGCGTAACGGCGTCTTTCAGCAAATTTGGCAGCGACCTAAAGCCCTACGGTCGCTGCAGTCCCAATTCCCTGCCAGCGTTTCCGCGGCTCTTCACGAAGTTTGAACGCGGTCGCTCGCCGTAGTCTCTAATCCCCGCCCCCGAGGCTGACGTCCAGCTCCGAACGAACGCTAGGCGGGGACGAGCGTGCGTGGAAATGGCGGCCCTTACCCGCCCCACGACCCGGCGCCCACCGCGGGCGCGCGCTCGCACGCCGGAAGGGGCGGGCCCAGGCTGGGCTTTATAAATGGCTCGTCGCGAGCGGTCCGACCTCTACCGGTAGCATTTGGCGGGGGAATGGTACGTGTCACTATGGCGTCTTCCTCTTTGTTGGCGCGGCGGTGCGGCTCAATCCGTGGCGCATCGCCGCCATCTCAACTCGGCGGGCGCGGGGGGCCTGCTCCGGGAGCACGGGAGATTTAGATCTACAGTGAGGCCTGTTTTCTGAAAAACAGCGAAGGCCTGTGGTTGGCCTGGGGCCCGCCGGGCAGCGGCTGGCGAAGGCCGGTGGGGCGGGCTCCGGTTTGGAGGCCCCGAGCCCGGAAATTTTCAAGCCACAGATCATTTCTCGAGCTCACCAGTTGAGTGTGGATCTAGATTGGAGTCTGTGAGCACATTGGTCAGGAGGACCTTGAGTGGGGGCGCTAGGCCCTGTCCGTGCTGCGCGGGGGAGGTGCGGAAATCAGCGTAGCACGTGGGAGGGGAACCTGGGCTGGGGTTGCTGAGGCCTCGGGCTGAACTGGGTGGGACGTTGGTACCCCGTGTAAGGCCTCTGGAGTTCCCAGGAACCACAGATGATGAACTCACTGACGGGCGGACAGAGGCTCTGTGCTGATTGTCATGTTCTGATTTGGCTCCGTTGAGTTCTAGTGGCCTTCGGGTGTCCCTCTAGTGGGGGGAGGGGGGAGCCTGTGGTGCCGTCTGCCACCCAGCTCTTGGTCCCAGCAGCCGTTTGTGCTGACTTGATCATAAAGGCACCTGTGAAGTGATTTTAAGGACATGACCTGGTGTGCTTTTGTCTTATTAGAGAAGAGAGGGGAGGGTACGTTTTCTTAGGTTAAAAAATGAGATTTTGTGGCAAAGATTCAAGTCATTTAGGCCGTGTGACCTTTTCTCAAAGTGAACCCAGCCCAGCCTGTAAGCGTGTTTTATCAGCTGGGCTGCTGGTCTCTGGTGTGGACTACACGTTGCGGCGGGTCCTTCCACCACTGAGGCGAAGCCGGGCGTCAGAAGTGAGCTGCTTGCGACAGGTTTGAGTGCTAACGTTGATCCTTTTTCGCCCAGTCTCACAGGAAATTCTCCGCTCCCAGGCATGGGTCCCTGGGCTTCTTGCCTCGGAAACGCAGCAGCCGGCACCGTGGGAAGGTCAAGAGCTTCCCCAAGGATGACTCTTCCAAGCCTGTCCACCTCACAGCCTTCCTGGGCTACAAGGCTGGCATGACTCACATCGTTCGGGAGGTGGACAGGCCAGGATCCAGTGAGTACCAGCAGGACCCTTCACCCTGGTTGGGGGTGGTGGTGGTGGTGGTTAGGAGTGGAGGAGGATGGGGATGGACTGGACTGTAGTCAAAGGGCAGACCTTCTTTTGACAGGATGGAAATCTCCATTAGGATTGATTCCTACTAAAGGCTACAGGTGGTTGGCATTATTGCTTTAGGTGGGGGATGTATTGAAGTCAGAGCAGCACGTGAGTAAATTCTTCAAGAGCCACAGCGTAGAGGAGTATGCTAGTTAGTACCTGTGCACCTTAATCCAGAAGCTTGAATGCTGCCCGTGTCCCTGGGTTATGAAGTGCAAAGGAGAAAAATCACTAAGTAAAACAGCACTGGTGGGGCGCCTGGGTGGCTCAGATGGTTGGGCGTCTGCCTTCGGCTCAGGTCATGATCCCAGGGTCCTGGGATTGAGTCCCACGTCTGGCTCCCTGCTCGGTGGGGAGCCTGCTTCTCCCTGTCCCTCTCCGGTATTCCCTCCACTTAAGCTCTCTGGCTCTCTCTGTCAAATAAATAAATGAAATCTTTAAAATAAAAAACACTGGTTAGTGAACCACATGGTACATACTAATGTTGGTATTAAACATCTTTGCTGAGTTCAGAGCTGTTACCACAACCCCTCATACTTCATACTCTTGTATTATCTAGGTAATAAGGAATTTGCTTTTAGAGATTGTGATGAGAACTGAAGCTGGATTGTTTGTCTTAGAGTCCTGAAATTTTTTTGAGTTAGAATTTATAATGTGTGTGGTAAGGACAGGCCTGGGAGTCCAGATTGGTGATAAGGCCCTATTTCCACAAAGTTGCTTGTTACCCGAAGCACATTGCCCTCTTGACCTAAATGGGCATTTCACACAAAACACCGTGAATCCCTTGTGGGCGATTCTAGCCATCCCACTCAAGTCTGACTACTATTTTCGGCAGAGGTGAACAAGAAGGAAGTTGTGGAGGCTGTGACCATTGTGGAGACACCACCCATGGTGGTAGTGGGCATCGTGGGCTACGTGGAAACCCCTCGAGGCCTCCGTACCTTTAAGACCATCTTTGCCGAGCACATCAGTGATGAATGCAAAAGGCGCTTCTATAAGAACTGGTAAGGGGATGGAGCACTTGGGTGGCTCAGTTAAGCGACTGCCTTCAGCTCAGGTCGTGATCCCAGAGTCCTGGGATCCTCAGCAGGAAGCCTGCTTCTCCCTCTCCTTCCCTCTGCTCGTGTCCCTTCTCCTCAATCTCTTTCAAATAAATAAAATCTTCTCGTAAGGGGTGAGGAGGCCCTGGACTAGGATTAGAGAAGAGAATGCCCTGTGCTGGGCTTCTCTGTAGCAGGGGGAGAACTGCTCTGGTGTCTGGTTTAGTCGCTTCCTGAACAGAACAGTTCTGAGGACAGACCTTGAGCAGCACCTCTGGACCTTCACGTTCACCCTAGTGGGTGTTGGCTGAGGACTCCGTATTCAGTGTTCTCTTAGTTCTGGGAAGTATTGAGAGTCCGGTTAAAAACAGCACTGTAACTCACCCAGTCCTGCCTGGGAGTGTGGTTGGATTGATGGCTAAGCAGGAGCGAGAATTAGTGTGTACTTGAATGCCGTGACTTGAATTAATTCTGTGGACCTCTGCTCAGCTCCGCTCGGGTCTGCCCGATGAGCTCCATCCAGGCTCCGCTTGCCGGTGGAAAAGGCTCCTTAGAAGCCGGCAATGAGCCCCGTCCCCATGTGGTGCCAGTTTGCCTTCCGCTCGCCCCCTGGAGGGGTGATGAAGGCCCGCACCCGGCCCCCTCCCCAACTCTGCTCTGCTCCTGAAGGCATAAGTCTAAGAAGAAGGCCTTCACCAAATACTGCAAGAAGTGGCAGGATGATGATGGCAAAAAGCAGCTGGAGAAGGACTTCACTGCCAGGTGATCCGGGTCATCGCCCACACCCAGGTGAGCACTCGACAAGGGGCACAAAAGGAGGGCGACTGTCCTACTGCTTCAAGGTAACTACCTTGTGCTTACCTAGTTACCTGCTGTGTTAATCCTCAGCTCAAGCTGACTTTGTGCCAAGTCTCAGGATTTTAGAGGGGTGGTAAGACCGGTTCCGGTTCTTTAGGCTTGTCTGGATGGATGGGCATCCAGCGAGCAGCCTGGGGCACCTGCGCGCGGTCGTTGATTTCTGGGGCCAGGCTAAGACTACTGTTGGCCTGAGAAAGCAGCCAGGGCTGCCTCCAGGCTGGTGGGTTGGTTTCTCTGTTGCCAGCAGAGGGCGCTGTGTCTCTATGGGCTTTGTATTAGGGAAACCGTGCCCCATTTTATTTTATTTTTTTATTTTTTTAAAGATTTTATTTATTTATTTGAGAGAGAGAGAGAGAGCACATGAGAGGAGGGAGGGTTAGAGAGAGAAGCAGACTCCCTGCTGAGAAGGGAGCCCGCTGCGGGACTCGATCCTGGAACTCCAGGATCATGACCTGAGCCGAAGGCAGTCGCCCAACCAACTGAGCCACCCAGGCACCCCAACCGTGCCCCATTTTAGAAAAAAGTGGAGGAACTGGTGACTCCTTCATGTTGTAAAATGCCTACCTGAAAACAGTAGTCAGTAGTAGGATGTTGGCCATTTGTGCTCAAATCTGACTTGATGCAAACAGAATGAGCCTTTTCCTGATTTGGTTAGAATGGCTACCTCATACGCTGTTGGCCTGAGCCATCGTCTTGGGTTTACGTCCAGTTCTTAAGTACTCATTTTCCCTCTGGTTAGCGATGATCATATCTACTTACATTTGTAGTATGCGTATTACTGAAGAAAGTTCTGTAGAACAGCGCTGGGCTGCTCCTAATGAAAAGCTTTAGGCTTGACTTTTTTTTCCCCCCTAATTAATTTGCAGCTTGTACCCTTGACTGCGGTGCTATTTCCACTCTCCCACGTCGTAAATGTCGTATCGACTGAGTAGACCAAGATAGATAGGGTAGACCAGGGCAGTACCCCAAAGGGACCGGCCAAAAGCCTGCTGATGGGGAACTTGGGGTTAGTTGGTCCTAGGATCTTGTCTCTGGTCTCCTTGTGTTGGCATGGCCCTTGTATGTCTGTTACGGATCAGCTCATCATGGTGAACTTGGGCATCAGAATTGAAGAGGGGAATTAGGGGCGCCTGGGTGGCTCAGTCGTTAAGCGTCTGCCTTCTGCTCAGGTCATGATCCCAGGGTCCTGGGATCGAGCCCCGCATCGGGCTCCCCGCTCAGCGGGAAGCCTGCTTCTCCCTCTCCCACTCCCCCTCCTTGTGTTCCCCCTTTCGCTGTCTCTCTGCCAAATAAATAAAAATTTAAAAAAAAAAATGAAAAGGGGAATTGTACCCAGTGGGGAGTTAGAACACAGGAAGGAGTCTTTTTTTGCTGGTAGGGAGACTCGAGGTTCAAGGTTGCCAGATGGTTCTGCCCACCCTGAGTTCCCTTGCCGTGGAAGGAGAGCTCGAAGCTCAGGATCTAAGCTGTATCGATGCCCTCCTAGATGCGTCTGCTTCCTCTACGCCAGAAGAAGGCCCACCTCATGGAGATCCAAGTGAACGGAGGCACAGTGGCCGAGAAGCTGGACTGGGCCCGCGAGAGGCTGGAGCAGCAGGTGCCTGTGAACCAAGTGTTTGGGCAGGACGAGATGATCGATGTCATTGGTGTCACCAAGGGCAAAGGCTACAAGGGTGAGCTTTGCGGTGGGCCAAGTTGTGATAAAACTTAGGTTTCGGGTCCAGATCTTTGAGGCTGTGGAATGTGCGCCTGGCACGTGGCCTGAGTAAGATTCCAGAAACTTGCCTCACTGCCTGCCTTCCGAGAACAGCTGTGCGGTCAGGTGTGAGGGACGTGTGGAGGACTGGGGGAGATCCCTCACCATCCATCTGCACCCTTAGCATCCGCAGCCCACCGCAGAAGGCAGAGGGGACTGGGAAGTTGGGGGGGGGGGCTCTGCCGGTGAGGAACTTGGATGCTGTGAAGCGCATATGGTCCCCTTCTAGTTCGGGGCTGATTCTCCAAGGCCTTTTGTTGTAGGCTGAGAACAGGTTTATGTCTAGGCTTGTGGTCAACCTGAGGAAATACGAGGGGGGAGAGGACGTTAAACCGGTGTGTCGAATGTTCTGTGTGCGCGCCACAAGTGGGTGAACTGGCCTTCGGTAGGAAAGGGGCCAGTGGCAGATGCCCCGGTGACAAGCTCGCGTCTCTTCCAGGGGTCACCAGCCGCTGGCACACTAAGAAGCTACCCCGCAAGACCCACCGGGGCCTGCGCAAGGTTGCCTGTATTGGGGCATGGCACCCTGCCCGAGTGGCGTTCTCTGTGGCTC